CTTTTACCCCAATTTCAGGGAAAAAAAAAACAGATTCAAGACCTAAAGAATGGCACTTTATATCTTTTATAAAAATCCATTAGAGAAGATGATAGTTATCTACGAGCAAGAAACGCACGTGCATGTCACTTCGGATCGGGCTCACGTGCCGTGTCTAACAAGTCGGTGACCATTTGCATACCAACCGTCGACCAGGAAATTGCAATATATAAGCCTTATGAGCTATCCCCGATTAATATGGAATAATTTTAACGTTACCCAAATCTACCAAAATTCAATACAAACCAATAAAGAATCCACCGTATATGATACAGTTTTTCTTTTTTCAGTTTCAATTTTTGTCTATGGAATAATAGGGCTGAAGCTCTTACAATCCGCCGGCGACTTCTGATCGCCGCCCTGACAGAAGAAGAACTCGTTGGGGCACCGGTACAGGCAGTTGTCCACCAGGCTCACGTTCGCCGACCCGGGCCTGAGCCCCATCAGCGGTCCCGGTATCGGCCCGAACAAGTAGTTCCCGCCCAGCAGCAGCCTCCCGATCTCGGTCGTCCCGCCGCCTCTCCGTCCGAGGGCGGCGTCCCTCACCCTCAGCGCGTACTGCGACGGTATCATCCCTGTGAACAGGTTGTGCTCCAGCGACAGCGCCGACAGCGTCGGCATTGCCGCCATGAACCCCGGCAATAGCCCTCGGAGATTGTTGTAGCTGAGGTCGACGGCCACCAGCCTGCTATTCACTAGGGACGTCAAATTTTGACCCAAATATTGATAAATAAAAGGAAGAATTTAAATATCTTCTTGATTGGCGCATTGAAACATAGTTTAATATTTTTGACATGATGAAAATTTAAATTTCCATACGGGAACACGAATTGGCAGACCTGCTGTTCACACCCCCCAACGGCGGCGCGTGCAAGGACGTGAAGCTGTTATGCGAGAGCGTGAGCTGCTCGAGGGACGGGTGCTCGAAGAGCGCCGACGGCACAGCGCCGCTCAGCTCGTTCCGGCTCAGATCCAGGACCTGCAGGAGCTTCGTCGCTCCGCGGTCGATTTCCGGGAGGTCCCCTCGCAGGCGGTTGTTCCGGAGCGAGAGCTCCACCAGCGACGGCGGGAGAGCCGCCGGGACTCCACCGGAGAACTGGTTGTCGCTCGCGTCGAGGAAAAACAGGCTCTTGAGCGAGCCCAGATCGGACAACAGGTCGCCGGAGAGGTTGTTCCCTTGGAGCTCGAGCCTTTTCAAGCTCGCCAGACGGTTGAAGCTCGACGGTATGCCCCCGTCGAAGTTGTTGCCGTCGAGGCTGAGCTCCTCAAGGGCGGCGAGCGAGCCGAGCGAGGCAGGGAGTTGGCCAGAGAGCGAGTTCCGAGAGAGCCGGAGCCGGCGGAGGCTAGTCAGGCCTGCGAGCGAGCCGGGGACGGAGCCGGCGAACGAGTTGTAGGAGACGTCGAGGGTTTCGAGGTAAAGCACATCGTCGTCCCAGGGGACGGAGGAGAGGTTGCCGGAGTAGCCGGCGGAGTCGAGGGCGATCTTGGTGACGCGGGAGTAGTTGGAGACGGCGAGGTCGCATAGGAGGCCGCACGTGAAGCGGTCGCTGAAGATGCGGTCGCAAGGGTCGACGGAGAAGTCCCAGGAGCTCACGCAAGATCCGGGATGCACGGACTTCGGGTCGATGGATGCCTTGAGAGCTTCGAGGACTCGAACGTCTCCGGGATGAGTTCTTGAATCGACCGGAACGAAGAGCTGCGAGAATGGCGTGATCGCGAGAACGAAGAAGAGGAAGAGAGAGAACGAGCTCGAAAGCGGCGACATCCCTCGTGCATGCAATCTGAGAAGAGAGCTAGATCAGATCAAAGAGGAAGAGAGTATAAAGAGGATGGCGGTGAGATGGCCAGTGAGATGGCCAGTGAGATTCTTGATTCTTGGTTGACTGCTCCGTACGATCCGTTAAGTTTCGATTTTCAGTCGGATTTCGATTTGAGTTTTTTTATCTTGGAGTTTGACCGTAAAGCGAACGCTGTCTCCTTCTCGTTCGCTCTCCTAACGCAAAGTGGGGGGAATTCTTTCTGAAAAACGTGAGGTTACAGTGGATCTGTAGCAGCCTCTCTAAGTTTGGTCGATGGGCCTGATGAACAGCTAAGCGTTTGGGTCGCAGCTCTTCATTTTGGAACGCAGGGCTCAACTTTTCGAGGCCGATTTCACCAGCATTCGTTCGAACGATGTAGTGGGCTTTCACCGTCGACGCATGAATTCACTTGGGCAGAGAGTTCACTTTCGGCCGACCATTTCGAGTGGAAAAAGCGAGAAGCTGACTTCGACGAAGTTTGGTGATGGGACCTTTCGTTTCATCCCATCTGCTTTTGATGGGTGAACGTTTGTGATTAGAGCTTTAGAAGCATGCGATTAGACTTGACACACCGAGGGAAATGACAACATTTCGAGACTAAACAACGTTAACATCGTCCAAAAAACAAACGAGTTCGTACGGTGCGCCAAAACCGACGCATCGTTACTCCAGCTACTTCCTTCAGCCTACGCCCATATGACATTTTAGGCTTTAGCTGTTGCTTAGCCTTCAAGTCCCGAGGGACCTCTGTGCCTCGGACATGCAGAGATCGATGGCATGCAGTCAGACGTTTGACACCGGAAGAAGATGTGAATGACGCTGTGTAACTTGGGAACAACATCCCGACCAAAAAAAAAAAAAAAATTGGGAACAACAGCGGAGGCCTCACGAGACCATAAGTTCGAGAGACGTGGGGTGGGCAAACCTTTAATCGGTCGGTGCTCTTTAGCATTATTACCTCTCGTAAATATAGTCGCCGACTGCCGATGCGGATGCATTTATAGGACCTGACTGTTTTCCCGTGCTTCTGACCTTTGGCATTGATGGTGCTGGATGATTAGCAAAAGCCACTTCCCTTCTCTTGGTAATTACGGATGTTCAAAATGGTGACTAAATGTGTCCCATGTTTTACACATTTCCCTTAGCGCTGTTTATGTTGTACTTGATAATTCTGGTGTGTTTTGTATGTCGCTGCTACTGATTTTGGCGTTTTATTTTCTGATCGTCAGCCACGATTTGTTGCCTTTGAACAAAAGGCCCGATATGTTTGGACTAGGCTTTAGTTTCGATAGAAACCCGACCGTTTGGAGCCCTAACTCTAATGAAGTATGCCTTCCTTTGTCTCATCTTATTTTAAAAGTCAAAGGGCGGGAATGGACGATCAGCGTAGCTACCTCATTTATGCATACTATAAGGGTCTCGGCATGAGATAGCAAATGCCCCGAGCACACAAACTAATTAGAGATTCACTCACCAGATGCCTCGAGTTTGTGACCTCAGAGAAGATAGTATGACTTATTTATCACCGAGCTACCACGGTTGGGAGTTCTCTTTGTCCCACATTGAATGAAAACCTGGATTGTTTATCTACATATACAACTAAAACCTCTATTGTTATAGTATTTATTAAATTTGAACGTTGTACGTCAAATATCTCGTGCTAATATATCTCATGGCGGAAGCACCCAACGTCTGGTGATTCAACGTATACTTCAATAGTGCCTGAGAACATTGCTTTTGTCTCCTATGATGCCTATCGATGGATTTCAATTTCTGAAACAACTGTAATTTGAATTTATTAAATTTTAGCATAGCTCGGGACGAGCTTTCCACAAAACTTGGCATTATGGATCCCTGACAGCCGCGCCCGCATCGATGAGCCCCATACCATTCGTTGGTCTCTATATATTTCTGCACTCGAGTCAATCAAGATTCAAGGAGCTTCAAGTTCAAGCTTAAAGAGCTTAACAAAGATTCACAGAGAAGTCGTATTGAAATACAACAAGACACAGCTGGACCAACTACAGTTGCAGTAGGGTTAATGGAAAGTTTGGATGAAGAAGGCTAAGGATCAGGTCCTACCGATCACAAAAATGACCGGGAAGATGTTCCTCCGTTGGTAACTGGGGTTAGCGTTTCTCCGTTCTGGTCCGCCGTTTCTGTCAGCTCCCAAAACAAGACAATATATCAAATCAAAATCCCGCAGACAAATGGAGTAAGCCTACAACATCGATCACATCCAGGTTTTTGTCTAAGGTACAAGGAGGAGGCAAAAGTTGAATTGCATCAAGTTACTCCACCAAGGATATGCTAAGTAAGTAAAGACATTTTGCAATTTCTAATCCAAACAGTATGCCTTACGAGAAAAACTAGAAGAGGCATGTGAAAACACGTATATTATTCAGTGAGGTGCTCACATTCTGATTTTGTTATTTCTAGACACATAATCGAGAGAAAATATTGCATTGAATTTTTAGACTCGGTCCAATCTACGGTCCAATTTGGAACCAGATCGGCCGATTGTGGGTGGTTCCTAGATGGACCGGTCCAGTTTCCGATTACACATGGGGAACTTAAGGAACACGATCAAGATTTCTTTTTTTTTTATAATTTATTTTGAAGCAAATTGTAATTAGTATTTTTTTTTCTTTTAATATTGGGAAACTTCCACTTGTAGGGAATAGAAGAAACCAAAAGAAAAGGAGAAGAAATTATTGGTTCTAGGACCAGGTTAGTCGGCTCCCGATTTCACAAACTAAGAACTGACCTTACCCAATTCAGCGTCAGATTCTGGAGTGAGAACCGACCCGCCCTGGAACCCGGAACCGATCACCCTCACCGTTGATCACACGATCCCTGAGACAAGACTGGCCGGATCGACGGTAAAAATGGTGTGGATCCACATGGTCCGCCAAACCGTGGGATGTGCCAGCTGGGTCTCTGGTCGGACGGAACGGAAGGTAGCGGTCCACCACCACCGTGGGAAATGCGTTTCAAATCAATGAAGCCCCAGAACTGCAAACATGGCACTTACTATGTTTCATCACTTCGTACACTACCTTTCACCAATTTGGCATGCCCTTTCCATTTACGGCAAAAAGGGAAGACCCCCCTCCTTCTGTACTCGCCCTCTCTCTTTTTAGCTCGGTGGTTTTTGTTCTTCTTCATTCTGGGTCACAGAAGAGAGAGAGAGAGAGAGAGAGAGAGAGAGAGAGAGAGATGGCGAGAGGGAAGATCCAGATCAAACTGATAGAGAACACGACGAACCGGCAGGTGACCTACTCGAAGCGGCGGAACGGGCTGTTCAAGAAGGCGAACGAGCTCACCGTCCTCTGCGACGCCAAGGTCTCCATCATCATGATCTCCAGCACCGGCAAGCTCCACGAGTACATCAGTCCCTCCACCACGTATAAAACCTTATTTTTGTTTTCTTGATTCGTTTTCCTTCGGCCTTTTTTTCTCATCTCTTCCTGTGAAAAAGAAAACCCTAGATTTGTTTGACTCATATGCTGCCCCGTTGTTTTTGGTTTTGGTTTTCTTCTTTCTTTTGTCCTGCTGTTCATGTTTTAGAACTAAGAAGATGTACGATCAGTATCAGCAGGCACTTGAGGTCGATCTCTGGAACTCTCACTATGAGGTCAGATCTTGCTGATTTTCCCTATCTTAATATTCTAAACAAATTTTCACATGCATGTGCGTACTTGGCGTTAGTTCGATTGTTTTGTTTGTGAAAGTCTGTTTTGAAATGACATTCTTCTCTGCACTTTCATCAGAAGATGCAAGAGACCCTGAGGAAGCTGAAGGAGGTGAACAAGAAGCTTCAGCTAGAGGTCAGGTAAAAGAAGATCCTGTTCCATTTATCTTGGTCAAATTTTTCTTCAGCACTGTTGGAGGTTGGGCTTGTCATGGACATGCTAACTATGTATGTGAGCTGGGTTTCTATTTGTTGGGTAAAAATGATTGCGCAGGAGGAGGTTTGGGGAAGGATTGAATGGTATGAGCTTTGATGAACTGTGCGGTCTTGAGCAAGATATGGACAACGCCGTTAGTCTGATCCGCGAACGAAAGGTTCGTGATTGACCCTATAATCGCTCGTTTGGCTTTTGGATTTTTAATGACTCTCGGGTGCTCAAAAGAATTCCAGACAGGTCACTTTACTGACATGGTCGTCAGCTGGTGTGCTTTGCCAATATTCTAGCGTGCTTGCATAATTTCTCTCAACAAGAATTAATCCTCACACTGCATTGTAAGCAAAGGCCTGCATTGCGATGTTTGAATTGAGATTTGGATTTCTTGTTGCCATACCCTTTAGTAGCTGACAAGAGAAACCGCGATTTGAATTGAGATTTGTGTTTATGTAAGAGTAGATGCGTCAAACAATTTTTTCCTCATGTATTGCCAAGTCATATTATTGAAAAATTCACTTACTTTACGATGTATTAGGCTTTCACTCGTTGCATAATCAATGCAGACATGGACCTGATAGTACAAGTAACCAATCGATTATTGTCAAATTTGTTGTCATGTTATTTACGAAACCATTCTTTTTTGTAAATAATTAGTGTCACGACATATGTTTTATATAGCATGTACATTGTGGACCTATTTCCAGATAACTTTAAGCTTGTGGGAAAAATGTTTGTTCTAAGATGATGTCAGATCACAAATCACTATAATTTAGCGGTGGCAAAACGAGTCAAAAATCCACTTGTGAAATTATATTTAGTGCGTTAGTTAAAATTTTAGAAATAGCTTGTGATGGATTAGAGTGGCAATTTCAGATATTGTTTGATGCATCTATTAGCCTTTCTCTGCTCTTGGATTTATATTGCTTAAAGGTCTAAAATATTTTTGTTTCGTGCCGAAACAGTACAAGACGCTCAGCAATCAAATCGACACCGCCAGGAAGAAGGTGAGCCCTATGATTTGTCGATTTGCGCATCCTCCTTATGCAAGGGCTATGCTAATTTTCTTGTTATCATTCCAATTCAACCACGTGTTTCCAAAGAAACACATATTTAAGAATGCACAGTTTCCGATTTTCTATGATTGATGGCCACTCATTTCTGTTATAAAAGTGATTATTTCGCCTGATCTTGTCTTGGTTGGTGCTCATTGCAGAAAAAGAATGCTGAGGAAATAAACAAAAGTCTCCTGCAAGACTGGGTAATTAAAGCTTCATGGCTAATAGATACCTCGTTAAAATTAATGACGTTATTTCTTCGTTGTCTGTGGAAACATCTGCTGTTATGTCCGAAAAAACTGCCAATTCACATTAATCAGCTGTCTTCATCTACTGATTATATTGATGGAAAAATGGTTGGAGGATGTCCGAGTTCATTTCTCTCTCTCTTTTGTGTAGACTAATCTGATCAAGCATATGAGGGAGGACGACCCGCATTTCGGAATGGTTGACGACAGCAGGGACTACGAGGCTGTGATCGGGTACTCGGACACCGCCGCCGCCACTCGCCTGTATGCTCTGCGCCTGCAACCGGACCATCCCAATCTTGCCAGCGGAGGAGGGTCGGAGATCACGACCTACCCTTTGCTCGAGTGAGACGAAGGTGTCGAAAAAACCCTTCGGATGTCCTCATATTGTCTAAGGGCTGGTTCAATCCGGATTTTAGACTTTATCCGTATATGAAGTTTAGGATTTTGTTATGTTATCTTATTCAGTGACTAAGTTTGCTTTTATCAGAAGATGTTCCTATTATAAATCAGGGTATTTTCCTCAAGGACATCTTGTGTTCAACAGGGCTAAAAATATTTGCCTGAATTATGGTCCGTCGGTAAGATAAAATAACGACCGTGTTAGACTTTATTAGATGGATGTGACATCCATATGATATATTTTCACTTGGAGCATAGGGCTTTTGTTTTCTCCGACATAGACCCGACTAGTGGCATCACAATCTTGGACTGTATGTCGTTGGCGTTGTACGGAGAGGATCTAATTTTCCTATTGGAAATATAGGAAGTCTCTCTCACAAAAAATTATGAGATGGTGTTGGGTAAAGATATATTTTTATAAAAAGGTAAATTCGAATACATGAAATGCCCTGCCAACCTTACGAACCATACAAGATGTAGATGAACTAAAGGCAAATTTTTTTTATGCTTGGCGACGTGGAGTATCGAATCTGTGCTGTGCGCTTAATTGATCTAAACATTTCCATTCCTTAACTACTATGGGGTTGGGCAAAGAAACCTACAACATATATAGGCTTCATTTGTTTTGCGGAAAAATGAATTATTTAGATAAAATTTTTCTGAAAATAATTGCTAATTTTCATTATCGATAACAATTCATGTAAGATATTTTCGTTAACGATAGAATTATTTTTCGTTTATTCATTTTTTTAAGTAATAAAACAATAAAAAAATTCCAAATTATTCATTCAAGGTTTCTTACGCCCAAGGATATTTGCGTCACTTCACCTATTGATGTGTGAGAGATGCACTCGTGAGTCTTTATGGGCTCGTTTGGTTCGGCTATGAGGGAAGCTCGTGAGTCTTTATGGGCTCGTTTGCTTCGGCTACGAGGGAATGCCTTTGACAAGCATTTGAACTAAAAGGATTTTCCGAAATGCAAATAGTATTTGGTAATGTGTATTTTAAAATCACATTTGAAAGCAACTTTGGCCTAAATACCGTTTGGTAAAAATTATATTTTATAAAATACTTTTACTGATATTTAAAAAAAAAAAAAGCAATCTCGGTGGAGCTCACCCACTGATCACCACCGCCGACCAGATTTGGTCGCCGGCCACCGTCGCCTAACCTCGGGCGAGGTGGCCTGAGGTCACACGATCTCAAGAGTCGCCTAGGTCGCGCAACTCAAGCGACGCCTGAGGTTCAGCGACCTCAAGTCACATCGCCTGGGTCATACAATCGCCGCCTGGGGTCGCCGGACCTTGGGCGTCGCCTGGGTCACGCCACCCAGGCCAACGCCCGAGGTCCAGCGGTCGCCTGGGGGTCGTGCAACCCCAGCGACCGCCGCCTAGGGTTGCCGGACCTCAGACGACGCCCTAGGTCACGCAACTGACCTAGGTCTCGCGACGCCCGGTGACCCCAGGTGGCGGTCGTCAGGGTCGCGCTACCCCTTAGGCGGCGGTCGCCAACCACTGGACCCAAAGCTTGAAGAAGATGAACAGTAGTCGCTCGATGAATAGTGAAGTTGCATCCCGAAAATGCAACTTCCCCAAGGCTCCTCCATTCCTCCATTCAGCCAAAATGAGCTTTAGAGATGCAATTATATCTCCTCAAAGCTTGCCAAAAAAATTGCCAAACAATTTTTCATTTGCTCAAGGGGCTTTAGAGTCTCAAAGCAGTATTCAAATGCTGAACTGAACAGGATCATGTGTAGTGGCGTGTTAATTAGTATCTGCCTTTTGTGAGGGTTATACTTGTAATTTGACATTCACCTCGATTTACTACTCCTCCTGACAGGTGGAGGGCATTTATGTACAGCTAATCCCTTTCAAATCAACTCCAAGCCAACACCCTTTTAAGAGAAAAAAAATAAAGCAATGCGAAATTGAATTCAACTCCAAGAATTTAACATCAGTTCCAAAAAAATCGAAAACTCAAACAACGAAATTTTACTTCACAACCACTCTGACGAGGAATTGACGAAAAAAGTAAATTTAATTACGAAAAAAGCACATTAAATTTTTTTTTGTCTGAAAAGCTTTACAATTCCCATCGAAAAGATGTTCAAGAATACATAAAATTTGCTTAAGAACACAGCAAATTCGAAAGGCTAAGCGGGGATAAGAGACCAAATTCGAGAGCAAGATTTTGTTACGATGGGCTTTGACGACCAAATCCGCAATCTAATTACTCTCTCTCTTGCGATGGCTATAGGGAGGTGATTGAACTTCTTCACGTGTGACTGGGCTTTGGTGATACAAGCAATTACTTCCCAACTTGCTTGATCTGAAGTAGCGATTATTGTAGCTACCGGATCATATTGATCTATCTTGAGTTTCAACTTCAGTTCATGTAGCTTCACTTCGCCGAGGCTTACAAAGTATTTTAGGGTTTCCAGAATCGCCGAGAAGACTGTCACTGAGCAAGCATAACTGTCGATCAGTGTTCCGTGGCAGACGCGGCACACAAAAGCTATGGCGCCATCCCCTATTTCTAGGATGAACGACCCATCGACGTTAGCATAATATAAATTTACGACATATTATTATCGTCAAATTGGCAATTCCCTTAAAAGGAATTTCTCGTATTGATGTTAAATTAGAGCTCACAAATCTTTATAATCATGAGGTAGACTCAATACATGATACATACGTGGCTCACGAGTGCCCGCTATTAGAGAACCATCCTCTACATCTCAATGACATTGTAATCGGAGTTACGAAAACGTACGGCGAGATACTTGAGATTTCAAGTTTAGGAATTCCAAATGCCGACAGAAATACTATTTTATGGAATTTCGTGACATTTCATAAATTAGAATACTATACCCATCGTACTTTTAACTAATTACAAATAGTAAAGTCAGTGCCCGTGCGGAACGCGGGCCACGAAACTTAGTACATACACATGGTCCTAGTTGATCAGTTGAGACCAACGGCGCCAAAAATTGATCAGGAGAGGCCCTCCTTGGAGCTACAAAATTTCTAGGCTAAGCTCAAATGATTTTATCAAACATCATTGTGGGCTCTAAATCAAAGGAAAGAGCCCAACACATGAAGTCTAGAATTTGCATTGTTTTTTCGAGACAAGGGACAAAATTGCTCCCTAGTAAAGGCCAAAACCAGACTCTTACCCCGCTTTCGAAGTGGGATTAGCTCAAAGTCAAAGTTTTTTTGGTGTTTGTTTTTGTTTTATTTCGAGTTTTTTAAGGCGACCCTTGACCAGCCGCCCGTCCCGGCGGATCATGGACTTGAGATTTGAAAGCCAGAGAAAACTTTGTTAAATTTGAATTTCTTTCCGACCAAAAAAAAATAAATTCTCGACATAATTACTTCGAAATCTTTTTTTTGTTCTAATGATATATGAAGATTTTGGTCTGTTGGGTTCCGGGCCACGACTGACCCATCAAGTCTGCCACTGCTGAAATGAGAACGACTTTTACCACTAAATTGCTTTTCGTTTTGTAATTTTGGAAGGACGAATATCATGTTTTTATTTTTTATTTGTTTGTCAAATGATATCTCAAATTAGTTAGAATTTTTTTTTTGTTGTATATCAACTAAGTCGGCCTCCTCAATCAAGGACGAATTACTTTCCAATTTTCTTTTCTAAAATGGAAAAGCTTCACACTTCTTCTTAAAGAATATAACGTTCTATCAACTCGATAAAAAATTTCAAAGTCAATCTACTGGATGAGAACATTTGAGTCCATAGATAGGGCTAGTCATACATGTAATGATAGATTAGCCTAGATCTTAGAGTTAATTTAAAAGGGTAAACACAACAGACATTCTCAACTTTATTGCGAGCGCGACGCATGCTTTCTTGTATCACGTTTTTTTTAAAGCTATGTTTTGACCGTTAAAGTAAAAAAAAAATTGAACTTTGCATCTTTAGATCTATAGCATCTACAAGATGCAAAGTATAAATTGCTTAACTTTTCACTCGGAACGAGATTAAAATTCTTTACTCGTAATCACTTGTCCGGATTGATTTTCATTTTTCTAATTTTTGTTTAATCTAAATGTTGACACATAGGTTCACGAAATGCTTTTTTTTTATTTATAATTTTTGAAATGCAAATGATATCTAAATTTTGACGGGAAAGTAAAAAAAAAAAGATAAACAAATTTCTTCTGTATTTAAAAATGTGAACAAACATACCTAAACAATCACCATTTAATGACACTAATAAGAAAGTTCCGACAAGAAATTTTGGGCCCTCCGATTCTCGGCGGATTAGAAAGCGAGCGCAGGGCTCGAGAGTTAAAAAGAGCCACAGAACATTTTTTTTTGGCCCTTTTATTTTTAAATTTTCACTATGAATTGCTTCTTTTTCTTATTTTTTGCACTTTCGTCCTCTTTAATTTATGTCCTCTCAAAGCTTTCCGCACCGGCTTAATCAACATGTTAGCCCCTTTATTATTGGGAAAGTAAATCCAATCATATTAAAATTAACTTTCACTCAATTTGAGAGATCTGTCCTTTTTCTACTTTGTTTTTACCTCGTGTATCGCATAACCTTAAGAATGCAGGATTGATGCACCTAATTGCTTTGCTTTTGAACCTTTGTTTTTGGGCAGTTGGGTGGAATCCGAATAATGTTCGGTAAAATTCAAATTCATGAACCGCTATTACTATGCGTGTTGTTGAAAGGTCGGGTGTAATCTCTCTAAGTGCTTTAGTTTATTAGATCTTGGGAAAAAGCCATAAAAAAACCTCAAATTATGCCAACGGTGACACATTTACCATAAACTTTCTTTTATGACATCAAAAACTCTAAATTATGCCCACCGGGACACATATACCATAAAATTTTTCCCGTGACATAAAAAATCCCAAAATTGTGCCTGTGTGACACATTTACCCTCCGTCAATATATCATTAGATGATTTTTTAGGTAAAATAACGTTGTTTTTACTTCACTTAAACCACATGGGCACCATGTCGACATTGTTTACTTTCTAGCGTCCATGTAGGCAGATTTTTAACGATTCTCATTACCAAAACTTTGATAGAAGGTAAATGTGTCAAGTTTGAGATTTTTTGTGTCACAGAAAAAAAATTTAAGATAAATATTTCATGGTAGGCATAAGTTAGGGTTTTTTTTGTGGCTTTTGCCCTTAGATCTTTGAGGTTTTAAGGGAACTCATTCAAGACTATAAGTCAATGTTTAGATTAATATGAGGTTGATCGATCAATTATAGCTAAGG